ATCGTCAGTGCCGGTGTAATTTAGCTGACTTGTTTCATACCATTTATTGTAGGAATTTGTTTTTATACTAAATTTGACTACAGACTGTTCCGTTCACCTGATCAGTATTCTATTAGGGCTCACGACAGGTGTGATTGGTCAACAGGAGACGCGTACCCTTCCTGTACCTAGGCACAAGATCTTGCCTCTTGAAGATTGACCACTTTTAGTTATCTTCACAATTTTTTTATGATAATGATCGCTTTTCATCATGTCCTCATTTTTATTTCTGGTTTTCAATCTTATGCGATCGTATGGGATTTGGTGAATATTTCAGAGGAGGGATCAGAAGCCAAGAAGGAGTAAGAATTCCTGATTGACCGGTCAAGTATAGACGGTCCATTCCGTAGTCAAATTTAGTACAAAACCAAGATATAGTTCAATTGGTATGAAAGAGTTTAACATTTTTAATATGAAACAAGCATATCAACTGTCTCGTTTGATATCATCATTTTGCAAGTTCTATGGTCGATACAATGACCTTGTCAGTAAATCTATCATTAGGTCAAATGCTAACTGTCAGTGATTGATGTTTTTCATACTTATCCCGGTATTGTTAAGCCATTTTTTTTTACACATTTAATTGTCTGCGATTTTTTCGGCTTTTCCGATCATGTCAAATAACACACGGCGGGTATGATGGGTCTTCAGATGTTCACTCCTCCAAGGCACCTTGTCCCACCTCTGATGTTTTGGAGTCCCGTGTTTGCTTTCCTTCCAATTTTTATTGTTTTAATGGACTTAAAGATTGAATACTGTACTTGATCTCCATATTTCAATCTATCAAATTATTATACATGAACAAATAAGTGGGGTCAATTAAAGATTGTTGATTTCTTTTACTTTTACATTTTCTTAATTGATCCTGAGTTCCCACAGGCACTTGTTTCCTTATTACTTTTTTAACCCATAGTATAATAGATTATACTATGTCCAAGGTAACAATTTATTAAAGAAACAAGCGCTGTGTGAGTTCTTCGTCTACAATTTGCTCGTTTCATTTTATTTGATGATTTAATGAATTTAAGATCTTTCTAAAAGTATCTCATCCGATAATAAACGTAATAAATACAAACAGAAAAAGGTTAGTATTGAAAGAAAAAATATCAAAGGTCCTATTCCAACTGCTCACTCATAAGTCATAAAGTCATCATTTCGTAAGTTCTATGGTCGATACAATGACCTTGTCAGCGAATACAATTTATCATTGAGTCAAATGCTGACTGACGTTTTTCATACTATTTGTTAGTCCATTATTTATACACTGAATTGACGACGGATTTTCCATTATTTCCCGATCATCACAAGGAGCACACAGCGGGTGTGACCGGTCGGCAGGGGATGCTCTTTCCTCATTGGCACCTGATCTGACCTCTGATGTTTCGGAGGTCCGTGTTTGCTCTGCTCTTATTTTGTATTGTTTTATGGACTTTTGATCTTGAATACTGTTCGTTATCTCCATATGTTTCATATAAAATGTAGCTTTAACGTTTACAATTTTCCAAAGGAAAAGTACTTCATGAAAAATTAAAACAATTATAGTATATAATGTATAGTAGAATATTTAAGTTTCATTTTTTGGTAGGAATCTATCCGCTGTCATGGCCAGTAATCCCCCCCCCCCTACAAAAAATCCTTTAGTTTCAGCTCACAAAAAGGCTAAGTACCTTTCCAATTTTAAAATATTTCACAAGTAAATGATCAAGATTTTTCACATAAAATTACTTGTAATAAATTTTCAAAAATGACACATCTACTGTCTTAAAGTTTTTTTTTATTTATAATGTTGACAAGTATAAATTATTTTGAGAACAATATCTTATACTGTCATACTAAGCTTTTCTATCAATCAAATTTAAACACAAAGACCTTTTTATAAAATGGAATCGTTAAGTACTCTTCGGCAGAATGAAGATTTATGCGCAGACGAATATTTTAAAAGGAGGAGAAAAGGTTGATTCGTGTAGATCTACTGAATAGAGCGCATTTAAAGTCCGCGTCGGGCTTCCCTTAACAGGCTGTAGAAAATGAGCTCATCTGAGGAGGAAGGTACGTTTTCTGTATTACATAACTAACGTGTAAAAATACGCAGTAGAAAACGAACTCGTATATTTTGCATAAACTTGTATTCGAATTCTGTTGTGAAAATTTTTCTATAACGAAAGGTATTCAAATGACAGAAAGTTCGCTTAAACTAGAAATATTGAATTATAAATTTCACGATATTAATACTTGAAAATGAATATCTTCATCATATATATTCTCATAAACGTCTTTATGCTATTTAATGTTTTTCGGTTGGAAATGGAGAGAAACTGGCAAAATGGACAGAATTTGATCTCAAAATTAAAATTAGAGATTTACAATTAGCCAGAATAGTGTCAAAATTTTATGTCAAAGTCTTCCATAACTAATAATAAAATTAGCCAAACGGAGGAACAGAGAAAGCACTTCTGATAATTGAAAACCAAAATATTCATTACACTGGGTTAAAAAAAAAGATGGGTCACTGTGTTCATCTAGAGTAAGTATTAGAAAACATCCCTAAATTATATAGAGCAGAACAAATTCGTGTACTGTCTAACAATATCGCAATGCTTTGGAGGATTTGATATTTGTATAGTTTTTCACAACAATATGCACACATTCTTTAGGGGGCCGATTGTGGTTTTCATTGCGCAATATTTCGCGCATCATTGTAAAAAGAAGCTTATTTACTGTTTTAAAGCAACTTACCCTATATATACGGCGAGTTTGATGATCTGCATGGTGTAAGCAAATATATACGAGTGCACTTACATAATATATCCAAAAAAAGGCACAGTTGCATTAGTCTGGGACAAGCACAATATGCAAACACACACATTGTGTTCTAATAGTTCAGCTATGGCATTTCGTTTTACTAAGTTTTCTGTTGTGCAACAAACTACATGTATTGAAAAACTTTTTAGCTTAAATTGTGCCCCTATATAAGCCGACCTGTTTTAATATTCCTGTGAAGCAGAATTCAAAAAGTTTCAACACGAGAAGAAGAAATTAATAGTCACTGTCATTCATATGTGGATTCGACCTATCCCAGTGACATAAAGGACATCACAGAGTTTGTTACTTCTGTTTCATATTTGGTGGTTTACTGAGTATAGATGATGAGCCAGGTATATTAACTAAATTGTATGATTGACGAGATAACTAGCATTTCATCGTTAACTTTTCCTTAGTAGTATTTATCTTTTTATACCTGAATATAGTGTTTACATGTCCCAATTTATTCAATACTCTAAAGCATTCAGCGAGTACGATCAATTTAAAAACGAGGGAAGCTAATCACATATAAGTTAATGTTACAGGGATTTCATCAACCTCGTTTAAAGTTTTAAAGTCAGCATTTTGTAAATTCTATGTTTGTTATAATGGCCTTGTTAGCAACTAAAAACTATCATAAGATTGTATTTTTTGTTGGCTTGTTTCATACCAACTGTAAGAGTTGTTTTGAAATACTGAATTTGACAACGGGATTTTACGTATAACAAATCAATACACCGGACTCACGACGGATGTGACCGGTCAACGAGATGCTTTCGTCTACCGGATGATTGGACTCACGACGGATGTGGCCGGTGTCGCATAATATTTGGTCCGCCTCGTTTAAAAGTCCGGCCGGACCTAATACGATAACATATTAGGTCCGGCCTGGCCGTATAAGAAAAGGTCCGCCCTCGGCCTTTTAAACAAATTGTATCACAAGAGATGCTTATTCCTCAGAAGCACATATATAGTTACACCTCTGGAACTTTCGGGGTTCCGTGATTTATGCTTGCCTTACAGTTTTGTATTACTTAGATTTTTTGTAAGACGGGTCACTGTTCTTTATTCTTTTTTCCCCCCATTTCTCATTTAGATATCTGTGTATCCGTCATTTTACTGTAGTATTCTTGTACTTAAAAAAGATATTTTCTACAAAGAAATTATCCAGAGACATAAATAAGATTTATTATGTCTCTGAATTATCTTTTTATTACCGACAGAAATCTATAGTTTTATTAAAGGAATTTCTAATTTTTTACTAGTAGTCTTAAAGTGATGTTTGTTTAAAAAGCATTAAAAGTCAGGAGAACAAAAGAAAAAGGTAAAATAGGATCGCTTCAATTTTGATAACAAATCATATATTTTCTAATTTTTTATGCCTTACATTTTTAATATTAACTTAACTTAAAATTAAATTGAAAAATATTTTTATTCTTATCAAAATTTTAAACTAAAATTGAGAAAATGTAAACATATCAATAAGAATTTTTTTTCATAGATGTGTACAAGTGATGACAATCATTCAAGATTTACATCTTATCAATTGCACCTGTGACATGTACACAACACCTGTGACTCTCTCTCATTTCCCCAAAGAAAGTCTTAAACGAGGGAGATTTTTTAATTTTAATTTTATCATATTTAAGAGTTTTTCTTTTATTTTAATAAAAGAAAATGTAAAAATTGCTTTATTGGCAAATAAAATGCTTTAAGATAGAGTTTTAAATTTGACGTTAATATTAGATCCTTTGCTGCTGAGAAATCTATTAAGTTATCAATTTACTTTGTACATGTATGTGATCAAATTACACACATTGGTCACCGAAGTACACACAAAAATGTTAATTATATTAATTTTATTTCAGACAATTCTGATTTGATTTTTTATGTGATTTAACTCCTTATGTTTTGTTCAGGAAAAACAATCTGAAACTTTTAAACGCATTTGTCCACCCTGCTATCTTTGAAATTTAAATTTTTAATGTGTGTGCAATATATGATGTTATATGTGAAAAAAGTGTTTGCATGGGTGAATTTAATTTTGGTGGGAAAATAAAATTACGAACACTCATTATTATTATTTTTTTTTTATTTATCCCCATCCGTTAAAAATAAATAAGAAAGCATAAACATACTCCCTTCCCCGTCCCACTTATTTCAACTTTGGCCCTACCTGTATATCACCACACTTACGCATGCACGTGGTCCCCCTATCAGTTTAAAGTTCCCGTTATTGACATTGATTACTTTGGTCTATTTACCTACGCCACCGACCCCCAAACATTGACCGATGGCGCTCGGTAAGTCAGTCTAAATAATTAATGTTCTCTGTGCATTGTCTTAACCTGTCCACTTTAACGTGTGCATTAGTTCAACAAGCATTTTTTTGTTTTGTTTTGCTTTCATATTTTGCGTGCTAGATATACAATGAACCTTATTTCGCATACCAGCCATACGTATGGTCTAGACCAAGAACTCTCTGTTATATAAGAGCACCACTGACAAATACCTTCACCTAGTAGCCCTAGTCTTTTTGCTATAAGCTTAAATCATAGTTTCAGTGTTAATCAGTATGAAATGCAACAATGGTTATTCCATAATATCTATCATTTTTTGCAAACCTAAAAAAAAAAATACGGTGGCTCAAAGGTGTCATTCGTTTGTTGAAAAAATACATATCAAAGAATTTTGGAAATGCGTACAATGTACTGTTCTTGACGATAATTTGATTCGTACTGGAGCTTAAAGTTACATTTAAGTTTAGTAAACCTTTTATGTATTTCATTGGCTACCACCTTTCTTTTTCATCATCTGCCATCAATTAAAAATTATGCATCATATGAATATAATGTGCACTTTTATGTCATGCACTTTTGTCTGCTTACATAATAAGACCATTATCTCCATAAATGGAATGCATTGTCATGCTAGATAAAAAGATTATTTATTTTATTATTGATATTGTTGAAATGACAGATTGCAACTATTGCAGAAAAATGCAAGTTTTGCATTAACAATGAGAGCAAGACGTATATTCTGTAAAATAATCGTATACATTATATTTTCAAGTATACGTAAGATGATGTATTATTAGCTGTACGTCATGGTATTGTCTTCTGAACGAGAAAAAAATATGAAAATTAAACATTACATCGAATTTTATTTTCATTAAAAACTTCTTGGAAGAGCTCACTGCTCAAAAAATCTTTATTTCAGAAAAAAAAATGAATCGAGCTAATTCAGCGTTAATGGATTGATAAGCAGCATTGTTGCAAAAAAAATTAAGGGAAGCGCTTCATGAAAAATATGCCTACGTGACAAGTCTGTGTGATTCACACATCAATAACTCACACAAAACTTAAAAACATTCCTTAACTATATTTAATATTTTCAATCCTCCATCGTGTAAACTTTTTTTCACTTTTTTTTCTCCGTTCACTATAATGAAGTGGGGAAGAGTGTGGATTCCTTTAAATGACGGGTATATAAATAACACTCAACTCCATAGTTGTTTATTATTACTCAATAAATGTATGCAAAACATATGGTGGTCCTAAGTGCCATTTTGACTTTGTATTAAATGAACAGGAGCGGATCTAGAAATTTTTCAAAGGGGGTGAAGAGGAAAAGAGTTGTTATATATAACGTACGTTTACATACATTTTGTAACTTATGTGATCTATAAAAAGTGGATGCCGATGGACTACCAGCCTGGAAAAAAAATTATTGATTAAATACTAGTACCTGAGAGTTTTTGACAAAGCAAGGAAAACAAATCTCCAAACCCGAAAATCCTATTTTATACGGGGTTGAAGGTTCCGTGTTCTATTTTGACAACTAAATTTCTTCATATTTATTGTAATATTGCTACATGAACTGTTTCTATAGAAAACACAACAAAAATTTGGGACTCTATTCTTTCTCTCTCTTTTACGCAAATCCAAAGGAAGGATGTGGGGTTGCAACCCTCGTAACCCCCCCCCCCCTCGCCCCCGGATTCGCCACTGCATGAATTGTATGAAGTCATGTTACTTCAATAGAATAGTTCAACAGCACAGTATTGGTAGTCCTATAGCCATGGCTTTACTTTAATAATACCGGCTCAGTTCACAGTTGATGAAATATATGGAGATAACGAACAGTATTCGAGCTCAAAAGTCCATTAAACAATACAAACTAAAAGCAAGACAAAACGGACCTCTGAAATATCATAAGTTGGTATCAGGTGCCATTGAGGAGTGAGCATTCCTTCAAATCAGTTCTACATATCTTTTAAGAAAATGAAGATAGTTTAAATTCGTTTAAACCTATCTTTATTTCTTTTGGTGATGGCTACAATTATTTTGAAGATAATATAAATGAATTGAAGATAGGAACATTTCAAATACTACGAATTAAAGAGAAACCAAGATTGATTCAAAGAAAGTCGATATGAATTGAACTTAGGTTTTACTGATCTATACCGATCTTTAAACTTTTGTGGGGATGCATGAAATGTATGGAGATAACGAACATTATTCAAGCTCAAAAGTCCGTTAAACAATACAAAATTTGAGCAGAGAAGACACGAACCAAAATTTCAGAAGTGGGATCAGGTGCCATGAGTATCCCCTGCCGACCGGCCACACCCACCGTGTGCTCGTTCTCTTGATCGGGAAATAACGAAATAATTTGTTGACAATTCAGTGTGTATATTTATAATGGCCAAACAATTATCATGAAAATCGTCAATCAGCATTTGATTTAATGATAATTTGTATTTGCTGACAAGGTCAGTATACTCACCATAGGACTTACAAAACGATGACTTTAAACGAGACTCCTGATATTCTTGTTTCAACAACTTGTTTGTCAATTATATTGCTTTAGAAACTGTCCATACGTAGAACATGCCCTCGCGTATTGAGAGGCATAAACCGCGATACAGGTGATGAATTTTTATCTATCTCTAAATGAATTGAACATTTCTTTGTATCAGTTGTATATTTTTTCAAATTATGAAGAGATAGAGATAATTAATGCACCTATCTTTAACTGATTAAAAAAATAATTTGAATTTTGTATTATTTATTTAAAGTTTGGTGTAATTACTTACACATATGTCTAACTCATATTTACACTATATTTAGATCAATTGTACTTATCTTAAATTTAATAGAAATAAGTTCAATTATTTGAAGATGGTTACAATTAGGGATTTGCTTTATGACTACTTTAGTTATTTGTACCTATCATCAGATCAATCATGCCCAATATTAATTAATAATAGGTTGATTTATGCATATTTTTGACCTCCAAATTAGCACAATGAAGTTGGAGATAGATTTAACAGATTTCATGATATACTAGCGTACAGATACTTAGAATAAAATACAGGTATTGATTTAATGGAATCTAGGTATAAAAGACTCTTACCTATCTTCAAATCATTTGTGGGGATTTTAAATTGTACGTTTTTTATCATGTATACTAATGTATTATTTTTCATACGATTGTTAGGTTATTGTATACACACTGAATTGTTGACAGACTTTTCTGTTACTTCACGATCATGATAAGGAGCACACGGCGGGTGTGACCGGTTGGCAGGGGATGCTCACTCCTCCGTGGCACCTGATCCCACGTCTGATGTTTAAGAGGTCCGTGTTTGCTCTGCTCCTATTTTGTATTGTTTTATGGACTTTGAGATTGAATACTGTTCGTTATCTCCATATCCTTTGTATCATTTAAATTTAATTGTACCTGTTTTGAATTCATCTGAAGATAACATTGTATGTTCAGTTATTTAAAAATAGGTACCAATATTTCGAGAAAGTTACAAATATTTGAATACTCAGTATGTATATGTTAATTTGGGTTTCCATATAGTACGTGGTATTAGCGCTAATCATACAGTTCTTTTGATACTTTTAATCTTGATGGCATTATCTAAATATTCAGGTTATGTCAAGATTCAACGCTGTTCATGTATATATATAGATGTTCATATAAAGTTAGTTTCAAAATAAAGTCTTCCGTGCAAAACCATGAACTACATGTAGGTATGTCGAGATTGTGAAGATTTCCGGTAAACATTATGCATTATAGTATATTTTATTTACGACTGAATGGCAGCTGAAAGCCGCCATGAACAGATACACTAGTGTAACAAAATATATATTTACATCTACTGAATATTTTATTCTTTTATTACTTGTGAAGACCATTGCCTCTAATCAGTGCATGAACAACACTAAGTAAGCCACGTGCGTAAATTTCTTGAACAATGACTGTTACATCAGTTATGAATACAATTATATTTTCATAAACAATAAAATGCTTTCTTTGGTTACGCGGGTTGTGTATTTTTTTTTGCAAAAGCTGCGACGTTAATTCCCGTACTACCAACCAAAGAAAGCATTTTATTATTCAAATATTACCCAGATCATGCAAGTTTATTTTCGAGCTGTGAAGAGTATGAGTCGCTTTCGTGCGAAGATATTCGATAGACTATGTAACCCCTCCTTTAAAATGACATTCTGGAAACTCTTACGCAATATATTCATTGCAACTTTGATAAAATACGAACACATTGTACACGTCAACCGTCATTGTAAGAAAAGCTGCATTGATAATTGTCATGGAAGCTAGAGTTTTTACGCTTATCTATTTTCTCACATGTTTATTGTACAGTTATGTGTGGAATGTATTAAATTTTTCATTTTATTGTTGATGCTATTTTTTATGAAAAAAATTTTGTCGTGCAGTTTTTAAATAAGAATTACCGATGTTTTACTATTTTTTATTACATGAAAAAAATTTTATTGAATACTTCAATAAGTGCAGTTTTTAAATAAGAATTTAAATAATAATACTTGTACGTAATTGAAAAATAAAGATTCATGTTTTTTAGCAGTATAATATTTCAAAAAGATATTCTGTTACATATTATTTAAATTATTTTGTCTTAACAATATACAACTTCGCTGGCCAAGGGTTTCTGATACGCTATACTCTCCTGATTATGAGGAGAGCAGCATATCAGAAACCCTTGCTAGCGAAAATGAACAATATAAGGCAAAACAATTGTAAAGTATAAATTTTCAACTAACTTACATTGTGAATAGATATCCCCTTTCTCAGCAGGTTGTTGTGGTACGGGGCCGGGGTATGCCACGCCCCTGGATGCTATGAAGCATGGGCCCAGGGAGAAGATTGTGTATCTCCCCTGCATAACCCCCGTAAGCAGAAAGAAAGACCTTTCTGACTATCTGGCAACAGTAGACGTGGACCCTACTTCACCCACCTACAGTAAAGTAAGAAACGAATCATTCAGTACTCGGAAAATGTATGTTTCATCACCAATACATGTATATAGAAATATTGAGCGAAATCACTTAAAGATCTTTAAAAAAAAATCTCAGCTTGAAATAAAAGATCTCACAGAGTCTGGCTCATCTGTCTCATATTTTGGATATTTTATTAGAATAACACGTTAATGGTAACCTAAAACAAAGGTTAATGATAAACGTGATAAACAACTTCTCAATTGTCAATTCTCCTTGCTAAAATATACCCTTTTAAACTCCATATATCGAGTTTGTGGGTTTTTTTTTTTATTAATTTGATACACATGAACATGGTCTATGAGACAAGGTACAATGTATTGGCTAACAAGTTGATAAAACAAGAATATTAACTGTCTCGTTTAAAGTCATCATTTTGCAAGTTCTATGGTCGGTACAATGACCTTGTCAGGAAATACAATCTATCAGAAAGGTTAAAGGTGAAGATAGCGAACAGTGATCCATCTAAAAACACTATGAACAATACAGATATGTGAAGATTAAACACGGACCCCTGGACATTGTCTGGTTGGACAAAGGTGCCTAGAGGAATAAGCATCCCCTGTTGACCAGTCACACCCGCTCTATTGATCAGTCAAATCCTGACTGAACGTTTTACATACAAATTGATAAGCCATAATTTACAAATTGAGTTTTCCATAGGTTTTCCCCCGTTTTTATCGATCATAACAAGAGGTACATGTTCATGCAGATGTGATCTACCGGCAGGGAATGGCATCTGATTTCACCTGTAAGGTTTTAGAGATCCGTGCTTGCTCCGTTTCTGATCCGTAGGATTTGAATGACATATGAAGTTGAATTCTGTTCCTTATTTCCATATTTCACAGTAAAATCTACCTGTAGTATGCAATAAGGGGTTTTCTTTTCAGTTCAAATCTTTTGGAATAATTCTTTTTTTTTATGAATTATTTTTTCAAAACATTGTACAAATTGAACTTTTTAGTTGAAATTAAACTAAATTCCAATTTTTTACTGCATTACTCATCAAGACTAGTAAAGTTTTTTTTTTTTTTTTTGCAATTGAGACTAAATGAAAAGATCGTAATTCTTAATGTTCAGTTTGCAGTAAGTGCATGTATTGCAAAAAGCAAACAAATCGTTATACTGCGTAGAGGTGATTTCTTTACCTTGAAGATATAACAACCAGATTTTGATAAGAATTGTTTATCAAGGTCTAAATGATTACAGATAAAAGTTGTAACCGGATAATCACCAGAGTGGTTTATTGCATTTTTATTAAGACATGTTCATGTAAATCCAAAATAATTTAAATACAAAATCTGTTCTTTGCTCTTTCAAAATGGAAAGCACGATTCCCAAATTTAATTTGGGGAATCTTCCTCTATCCTCAATCCAGTAACCTAGCTTACCTTGCAGATGGTGTCTTAAGATTTGAATACAATGGAAGGTCCATAGCAATTACGCCTGATTTCCCTATGATAAAGATTAGAATTGTACAAATGGTAGAAACAAATCAAATAGGGAAAAATACACTATATGATTGCATCATTGTATAGTAAAAAGCTATATGGGAGAAATCTTGCTTGTATGGTGAAGATGCATGTCATATATAAATTGACATTAGTAACATTGAAGATATTCTGAAAAGATTAAAAATCACATAATTGACGTACTGGTAGACACACTGCATAATTATTTTGCATATTGACATACTTATTTCACATTTTGACGTGATTTATCTTTTATTTCGGAATAGAATATTTCAAGTAACACCGCAGCCCCACTGACTATAACAATAATCATTTCAGGTTATACATCGTCTTTACATGCCGAACAAAGAGGACGAATTGCACCACTCTGGTTGGAATGCCTGCTCCAGCTGTTTTGGAGACAGCTCCAAAAGTAGAAACCGTTTGATCCTCCCCTGTATTAACAGTGATAGAGTGTATGTGGTGGATGTGGGAACCAATGAGCGACAACCTCGTCTGTTCACGGTAGGAATTGCAACTGAAAAATTCACAAGAGTTATCTTTCTTTCCAATCCAAAAATCTTTTTTTTTATTTCATGCTAAAAGATTGACTCTTTTAAGTAGGTTTATACATGTATATTATGGTTTCGCATTGTAGAGTGTTGAGCCGTGGCAACTACATAAAAAGGCAAACTTGGGAGCTCCACATACCACCCATTGTCTTGGGTCAGGCGAAGTTCTTATAAGCTGTCTTGGAGATGAAAACGAAAACGCAAAAGGTAGGCAGGACCTTTTTATATGAAATATTTGAGCCAATACGTTAAGATTTCAGACAATTAAATTGAAAGGTAAACATTGTTATTTTCCCATCCAGGTGGTTTTATCCTGCTGGACGGACAGTCGTTTATTGTGAAGGGTAACTGGGAGACGAAACCGTTAGAGTTTGGGTACGACTACTGGTATCAGCCTTACCATAACGTGCTGATCAGCACAGAGTGGGGAGCACCGAAAGCTTTCAGGAACGGATTCAACCCTCAACATGTGACAGACGGTATTCACCCTAACAAAAAACAAAATAGTAAACTATTGTTAACTACACGTATACATGTATTAGTATATTACAGTATCAACGATTTTTAAAGTCAAATTACCAAAGTTAGTAGGCTAGAGTTAACATTTGTGGATTTTGTGAGGGTACACTGTATATCTGAGATTCACTTTACCTTCATGGGTGAATTGCAAATAATATTCTCACCAGAGCATTATTATTGAAATGAGTACCTTCTAAAAAGCTAAGGATATTATTTAATAAAACATGGTGGAAGAATCTGAGAATAATTAACCTTATTTTAACAAAGGTCTTTATGGCCACCATTTGAATGTCATGGACTGGACGACACACGAACTCATCAAGAGAATTGACTTAGGTCCGGACGGTCAGCTACCTTTGGAGATTCGTTTCCTCCACGATCCTACCGCCACGGAGGGATATGTAGGGTGCGCACTCAGCTCAACCATCTTCAGATTCTTCCGCGCTCCAGTGAGTTAACATTTCTTTCTTTATCTGTTCGATAGAGAAAACAATTGTAATCAATAACTTTCATGTGATATATTTGTTAATTATAGAATGGTCAATGGGAGGCCGAAAAAGTCATAAGTATTCCTCCAAAGAAAGTAAAGGGCTGGGCAATGGAGATGATGCCAGGTATGACATAGAGTGTTCATTGTAGATATACAAAGTAACATTGACGTAGTTTAATATACATTTGTATTCTTTTTTAATATCAAAATAATATTACGATTTAAGGCATTTAACAGCTTATCTCTCTATGGCAGCACACACATGGGTAAACTTCTGTCTTTAATCGTTAGGTTTGATTACGGACATTCTGATATCACTTGATGACCGATATCTGTACTTCAGTAACTGGCTTCATGGAGATGTTCGTCAATATGATATCTCTGACAGAAGGAATCCGAAACTCGTGGGACAAGTAATATCTTTAAGAAATCATATATTGTTATTACTTTAAATATTGGGAGAATAAGGGAAATGTGAAAGAAAAAGATTAGATGAAATGAGGATGAATTTTGAAGACATTGAAAACATCAGCAAACTATATTGACTTCAAGTTAATTAATTAGACAAATAATGTCAAAATTTAACTTGCAATCGTTCCTTTTATAAGGCATTTCAGGATTTAGAACTAATCATTTTTTTCCTCATGAAGGGTTAATATTTGTTTCATAAATGTTTTTTCCTCAGGTCTTCTTGGGTGGAAGCATTTGCAAAGGTAGAAAAGTCAAGGTGCTAGATGACCCAGAACTAAAGGTAACGATACTTCTAATTGATAAATTGTTCATTTATTATATATTTCACATATCATAATTTCTCCAATCCAAATTCAATATTTTTAAAAAAATTATCCCGCAATTATTTTACATCCTCTCCTCAGACTCAGCCAGACCCAGTGTATGTGAAAGGAGAGCGCCTGCGTGGTGCCCCTCAGATGATTCAGCTGAGTTTGGACGGGAAGAGATTGTATGTGACAACATCTCTCTACTCCAAGTGGGATGATCAGTTCTACCCCGAGCTTACCAAGTAATACTGAATTGCAAGATAGCTCCAGATCTCTTATTACAAGATGGCCCCACCTTCTGTGTGTGGTTTTATGTATCCATCTCCAGTTTAAATATTTTAATAATAGAAATTGGCATTGATTTGTGACTTTGTTTCAATTGTATATTTACTTTGAATTTTGAATGTTAATGTCACTTAGAATCTTTCAAGATGCAATTTTTAGAAAAGGTAAAAAAAATCTTTTGCTATGGATGATATTGTATTTAGTATTAAAAAAAAACAAATAAGAAAAAAAAAGAAAGAAAAAAAATATGAAAAAAGATCAATTTAATTTGTTTAAGGCTTTGAATTTTTTGAACCCTATTTAAGATACTATATACAGCCTATATTCTTCTAACCTTTCACAGAGAAGGATGCCAGTTGTACATATTGGATGTTAACAACGTCAATGGAGGTTTGTCCTTGAATCCAAACTTCTTAGTGGATTTCGGCAAAGAGCCCCAGGGCCCCATGCTGGCCCACGAAGTGAGGTATCCGGGAGGGGACTGTAGCTCTGATATCTGGCTGGCTCATACTGCCATCAAGAACAAGATGTAGACATGACTGAGATCATACAGAAACTCTGTACAGAACTTTGAAGCATTGTGCTTTCTTAGAATTTCAACGCTGCAATATTTTGATATACAATTTGATTTGCTTTGACATTTTAATTTCTATCATCCTGCATATCTTTGAAAAATGTGTTCTTTTTATTCTTGAATTACATTTGTTTTATAAATGTATTGTAAATTTTTAAAACCAAATTTTATATATATTGTTGTCTGTTATAAATAGCATTGATTAATGAATACATCTATGATTAGATATCTATATGTATACAAGAATTAAACTTTTGAAGCATTTTTGTTATCTTTTACTGCAAACCTTCATAAACGATTTACATAAATTACAGAGGGAAACTGTGATATGTAATTGCCATTACGAACAAAGACGTACCGGAATCTAAATTTTTGACTGATTACCAATTTATGAATTGCAAGAAATACATGGATGAATAGTTTATAAAAATGTAAACCTGGAACTCCGAGTGAAATATACGAACTCCATAAGACATTGTTTTTCAGTAACTTCTGATGACAGATTACTGTGTTTGGAATTAAAGTCCAAGACGATTTTTTGCGTCAATGTACGTATAGCACATATTCCTTCCCCCAACGAAGTGACACTACCGAACTGACTGAAATATTGCCGATCCGGCGTTAACCAACAAAAATCAAGCAATCCAACGCAGTGAAAAATCTCTGACGACCATAGGGGTTTGGGTTTCATTGCCATATACTGTCTCGAATCGAAATCTGGAAATATGATTCATCTGAGATTCATAAGGCTTCCTTAATAAAAGGAAGATTTCTGTATACATTTGAAAAAAAGTTTAACCCAGAAGTTTAATTTTACCAATATAAGGAAGTCATACTGTCAGCGCAAAGCAAATAACCTGAAAGAAAACCAGGAATACTAGTTTTTTTCTTCTTTTTTAAATGCCAGCAGTTGATTAGGATTTCATTGATTGTCGGGAAGGACCTCCAATAGAAATGGTCTCAATTAAAATATTGATTGATTATTTTGTTTCTGCAATATTTTAGCCATATTTTGGCGATAAATTACATAACCGCATGTAATTATAAAAGTTTCATTTTATTTCAGCATTCGAGTCCATTCAATTAAAATAATGAAACTTTTAATTACATGCAGCTAACTGTTATACAAGTGTACAATGTAAGATCTGTTAGGAAGATCTGTTAGGATTTTAGAAATCATTATTAGATTATCCTTACAGATCTTTGTGAATAGCTTTTATCGTCTTCGACATTTAAAATTCACATTGTATGAGATACACAAATTTAATGAGCGAATTCTTATTCAAAATAAGAAATGGTGGGAAGGGAATAGGAAGAATACGTTGAGAAAACTTCGAATAAAAGAAATAAGAGCAAAATTGAATAAATCCAACATAAAATTTACATTCTTGCTACAAAAATACAAAAACAAATATTAAGTGGGCGAAAAAATAATGAAAAACAGGAAGATTATTCTACAAATTAAATATAAATCTTCCATAACAATTATCTTTTATTCATACATTGATCAAGTGTAGGTAGAATGGATAGAAATTACCGAGATTATCATTTGAAATAATAAATGAACGTGTGTATATGTCGAGAAGAAAACTAAAAGCCGAGTTCCTCTGTCTCAAAAAGATGCTCTAAAACACTATTGCACTAGAAGAATGAGAGAAAGATGCTCGTATGAAATGGACCATGAAAAAGACCAATTTGAGGGTATTAATTCATCATCTTCATCACCATCGTCGTTGTTGTCATAATCATCTTCATCAGTAAGTAGAATTTGTTTCATTTCAATGATCTTTCTATTAAAATGCATCTAAAAGTTTTCTACTGCTTTGTCTCATTTCATGTATAAGAATATGATCAACTGTTGTAAAATGGGTATGTTTTAATGAAGCTTGCCAATTCCTCTGTGTAAATCCATTCGATGTATCCCGGTGAATTTAAAATAAGATACCACAGAAGAGACACGACTGTTTCATGTTTTGGGATATTTTACTATAAGAGACGTAATTTAATGGTAATCTCACAACCTCAAAATGATATATAATATGAGCTATATTAACTCTATAAAGAAGGGAGTAAATATGTGATTACCAGTAATTATTACATTTAATCGGCTCACGAAGTCCGAAAGTTCAAGAATCACGGAAGTAAACACCAATGAACTGGATATACTGGACCCGTCCTCGTTTAGAGTGTTACAAGAGTGCACAAGTCTTATCTGTTTATAGACTCTTAAAAGTTAAAGAAAAAATTGGTCAAGCATTTAGCCACAGGATATTGTTACCAAATAAAAGATAAATCATTTATATGTAAATATTTCCTTTTCAATACGAATTGTACTGTTAAATAATTTCTGCAAATGGAAGGAAAAAGTTTTATTTTAAGTCATTTAGACTTTTGAGAGGGATTTTGTGTCAGAGTTATTTTAATAGAAATTCTAGACCAATTTTGCAATGCAGTTAACCTATTTAACATTTTTCTTCCTGAATAATAAATCACCTCAAAGTTTATTCCATGTAAATGATCTAATCTTATTTTTCCTCTTTAAATTAAGACCAAAATATGTAACTATAAAACATCAGCAGGCATGTTCACGACGCTATCTTAGGACTACAGTGTGTCCTAAGAACGTCTTAGGAAATGTCCTAGTCTTAAGCCAGTTTCTCGAAGCTTTCCTAAATTTGTGAACTTGCCTAGGTTTTTCCTAACTTTAGGACAACATAAAGCTTGTCCTAAGATCATCCTAAGTTTGTTGTGGTGCTTTTGATTTTGAACATTGCAAGTATTACCTACAATTTCTTGTTTCTCAGCAGTCCGTGCACGAGCTGTTGATTTACACAAATAATAAAAAAAAATGTTAACATAAGGCCTCTTCTTTGCAACATATATTATAATTTTCGATAGTTTTAATACAGAGCTGCAGGCATGTTTATGAAACTTTCCTAAGATTTGTCCTAAGATTATTCCTAAGATATGACTTAGGAAGAAAGTTAGGAACATCCTAAGATCAACTTATTTCTAGGAATAATCTTAGGTCAAATCTTAGGAAAGGTTCATGAACATGCCTGCAGATTGACAATAACTTTTGTCCTACTCAATAAATCTGGTAGAGCAAAGAAAGCAAAGGAAGCCAGTATTAACAAGACATGGAGAAGCTTGTATTCGAAGGGTAGAAAGTATTAGGATAAAGATATAAAAGTACCCATTAGGAGAGAGAAAACAATATTTACTATATTCTTAAATTGGAACCATTATTTCTTGTTAGATAAATAAATTCTGAACAAATTTTTAAAATTGTGATTTGTGAAATGATTACTGTAGAAATACTTTTTTCTGCGTGGTAATAATTTACGCTATGTACGCGGTCACCAATTGTCCGCGGAAATTGCCCCATCGTACTCAAAATAATTATGAGGGTTATAGTGAGAGTCAGAGAAATGGATATTCCGCGTTATTATGACCCCGTGGAAAATAGCACGTCTACAGAATTACATAATTTCCCGATTTTATTACAATATTTCCTCGCAGTTAAAGTATGTCGTTTTATTTGAAATGAAAAATATGTCTCTATCTTTATTTACTCAGTGGCATTTTCACTTGTATTAAATTTGTATTTTTCTCCATATTTAAAACGCAAGTTTAACCAAACTTATAGCACTAATTATCCTTCAGATGTGGTCTTAATATTTATTTTACAATGACATAGAGTCATACCGATGCAAAATATAATGTAATTACGAAGTCCAATCACCTACGTAAAAAGAATTCTTGTGAATTGTTGGTTCATAAGAATAATTACAATCATTCCATAAATGTAATAAATGAATGTATCAATTTTGTATTATATACATTTATATATAGAACAATCGAAACAACATTATATTTTTCTTGAAAATCAATATGTTGTATAAAACAAAATAAATAAGGTAATTGTATTAAAAATCGATATTTTGAGAATATCATTAATTTCCCCTTTTTTAATCTCTTGCTTTTTGGTGCTACCCAATATCATAAGAAAATAACAACGTCGACCTTTACAACAGAACAGCATTACATTTTCTTTGAAAAAAATATGCAGGAAAAAAAAATCAGTTACATATATATCATTTCCTACTATATGATTTTTAACTTTTCTGGGATAGAAATACTAGAACATGAGATTACTTTAGAAATGGGTGTGTTAGCATAAAAAATATCATAAAAATCCCCAATTTGACTACGGAATATTCCATTTAGGGTTACATCGGGTGGGACTCGAGGTGAATGCTTATTTTATCTTGGAGTCTCGTCCTATCTCGGGCTTCCTGCATTACATGTATTTCCTGTTCATGTAGATATGTATTGTTTCTAGACTTTTTTTAACATCTATCACTGTGCCTTATCTTAATTTTTTCATTACACATAAATTACATGTTCGCAGAATTTCCTCGTTACTTTTACAAAAAGTAATATATAAAGTTCATCGTATCTTCACACTCCCTCTGTGTATCGTAATCTGGCAAACAGAAAATCCGTAGACAATTTATTGTGAACAAAAATGGTCTAAAAAGTTGTATGTCAGTCAGTATTAGAATTACTCAGTAATGATTGTTAGTATTTCAGAGAAGGTTTCTGTATCGACCATAGAATTTGCGAAGTATTGACTTTAAACGAGTCTTTTGATATATGAATTCTTGTTTAATCAATTCGTTTGTCAATAGCTTCCCTCGCTTTAGACAAGTTCGAACGTAGAGCATGTTCTTGCGGACCGAGTCAGAACTGAGATATAAACTCTACATGCACTTGATAATGGTATATTGCTTCGTATATGTAAATGAGGGAAGCTGGTAATACAGAAGTGGAATTCATCACGTTTATCATAAAGTTTTGTGGATAGTTTACCATTAACGTCTTTTTTTCTGCTGGAATTTTCAAATATGAAACGAATGTTCCTTTAGGCTACCCCAAAACGCGGTCACCCTTTATATAAAATTTCATTTATAGAAGTTGTGAGGTTTTTATTGAATTTATGGTAATTGATTATCTTTTGAGGAAAAAAGTGGAAAAATTTTTTAAGTAAAAAATGTGAAAGTAACGAAACTACAAAAAAGGAGAAACATGCACAATGAATTGACTGTTATAAAAGGCCAACTTTTTTACTGAGTTATTTATGCAATAGAAATACTTCCTTAACACTAATTGGCAATAATTAATACTGATTTTGAAAGGAAACATTTATTACATGCAATTGTTAGACATGTTATGAGCAATAAGTGAGATCTATACAGGAAATGAGGAAAACAATGTTAAAAAACACACAAAATACATTTTGGATGCTCGATAACCAAGTATCATAAGTTTCAATTGTAAATGCTTAAAATGACTTTGTTTATGTATTCTTTAAACCTTAAGTTTGTCTTTTTAATGTTACCATTGATATCCTTGAATAATTAAATAAAAAAGAACGAAAACAAACTCATTTCTTCTCGAAAGTACTCTTATTTTCATTTTTTAAAAAAATATTTTTTTCATTTAATACTAGAGAAATGCTATTTAAAACGAATTCCGAAGTTTGAGATATTAATCTCAAACACAATTTTCAACTGATTAGTTTATTTCAGAAATTCTTTTGTTGTCCAAGAATATTTGGGTTACGCGGAAGTTCAAGTTACGGTTTTTCGGTCATAGACTTGCCGGAAGATTTCTCACGTAGTGCAATTGCAAAGAGTTACAAGCCACGAGGAAATTCGTTAAAAAGTATGTTTATATATACATGAGTGTGACATCTACTTCAACATTCCATATCTATGATGGAGGAGTGCAGTAAGAAAACCTGGATATGCAGTGTTACGAGAGACTGCTCTTTGATTTTAGACAGATTTGACATATACACGACCCCAACTCCACAGGATGTCCTTGAAATGGGAGATGACTTCTTCAGTGATGAGGACGACTCATCCAGTCTGGAGCAAACTGATGGTTTTAGTTTGGGATCTGCAGCCCTGGCCTCCAAAGACAGCTATGCAAATTCTGATGAAGTAGACGGGCTGTTTTCTTGCATTCATTTTAAAAGGGGTTCGGGTTCATCAGTACGTATCTTATTCAGCAGCTAAATATTTTTTTCATTAAAGAAAAATCTCAATGTTAATATTTTTCAATAAAATCCATCGATTTCATTGAAAACTGGTAAAATCGAGATAGATCTTCGGTCAATTAATTTGCATAAAATTAGAGAAATTTTTTTTTAAAAGACTTCAAGTAGTTCAAGCAGTTGTTCAGACAAAGACTCCAGGCCACGGACACGGAGAAGAAGAGCTAGACAATTCCAGAGTCTTTGGAGTCGAGAACCTATTTTTAGCTTACAATCTTTCAAAAATCCCAGAAGTCGTAAAGACATATTCCACGTGGTCTCAGATGTTCACGGGACTATTCAAAGTGGATTGCGGTAGGAAAGAAAATTATAAATGAAAAATAATTAAATATATATGCACTCTAGTTTAACAAATAAACATTTATTTGAAATTCAAAATAAATTATTTGAGTTATAAACACTTCCTTAGAAATTTTTAATTTTTTTTCTTAATTTGTCTAAGTAATATGAAGGTTAAAATATGGAGGGGCATATATTTTTGTAATTTAAAACGAAGTTTATGCCATGTTTGTTCAAACAGAGTCTGACACACCTGTTTCATATTTGGGTATTTTACCTGAAAAAGAACGTCAATGGTACCTAAACACCAAGCTTTATAGTAAACGTGACTTTCATCTAAGTTTTATCGTTTAATTACATTTACAATTCTGCAACATCAGTGAAGCTACAAAGTGTCTGAATAAACGGCATGAAGCAGTGCAAATATGAAAAAACGACCTTGCATTTAAATTGTAACCTTTAAAGTTGAATAAACAACTTTTGAATTTTGGAATTACCAACTTTGAAAAAAACATTGCATGGCACTAATCCGCTTCCGTATATTGAAGAGCTATCAATTAAAAGTGAACTCTATTTTTTCATTTGATTTTTAATATCATAAACCAGATTATTTATATCAAACTTAAACGCTTTAATTTTTATTCTTTTTCTTTTAAGGAAAAACGATAGGGTCATCGAAATTAATGAGAGAGACGTGCGACATGAAAGTCCAAACAATGTTGACATCATATGGCGAGGACTCTCAAATGTGTCGAAGGTAAAACTGGTAGGTGATCATGACATTATTCAAATTAAAATTATCGTAAAAGTAAGAAAAGACTATTTATTCTTCATGAATGTTCTAGATATTCAGTAATAAAAAAAACTCTTTCAAATTGACATCCATTTTATTCAATTTCCTTTAAGACTAATTTTGTCCTTTTCTTTTGCTAAAAAATTAATTGTAATGCTAAGAGTAAGAAAACTTCATCCTAGAAAATATTTTTAGGAAACTACAGTATATACAATGTATTCTGTCTCAATATGACAAGAGAAATCAAACTCAGAAGCTGTAATGATTGATTGATTGATTGATTGTATATTGTTTAACGTCCCTCTCGAGAATTTTTCACTCGTATGGAGACGCCACCACTTGCCGGTGGAGAGCTGCAAATTTTGTCCTATACTCACACTCAGGGCCATTGAGTAGGAGAGATCTTTTTCCTGCCAGCACCTTCTGCGACACGGGACCTCAGTTTATACGGTCTGCCTTACTTAGCGACTCTAGAGCAGACGCTCTAACCACTGCGCCACGCTGGCGACCAGAAGCTGTAATGTCAAAAATGTATATTTAAGCAATTCAAACTCAGAAGCTGTAATGTCAAAACTGTATATTTAAGCAATTTTTGTACTTATTTTGATACTATTTATGCGAAACGGAAACATATTTTTATGATTAATGTTTCAGAAAGTGTGGCGTTGGGAAGAGGATGAAAGTGGTCCAAGCATAAGGGAAGTGAGGATGGTTTATCACCCAGTGCAGCCTGACTGCCTGATACGACAAATATCAAAACTTCCTCTGAGTGATAGAATACGCAGGAAAGCAAAAAGTTTTACATGGTCAGATATGTCATTTTTACCGTTTCACATCCGCATTGCAAGTGAAACAGGACTATATGTTTCTGCTAACACTGCAGACATGTCTTTATATGGGGAACAAATGGAGTTAATACCGGCAGGAGCCACAGATCGATGTAATCCTTTATTTCTTCTTGAGCATTTTTTTCTTTATATTTTTCTATTAAGAGATATAGAAATAGGTTGACAGGGAATGCTCACTCCTCCATGACACCCTAACCCACCTCTGATTTTCTGGAGGTTCGTTTTTTGCTCTGCTACAATTCTGTATTGTTAAATGAATTTTTGAGCATGAATATATCCAAATATTTCATTTTTGATATTCCTACAATGTTTTTGAGACACTTAAAATTCTGTCGGTAATGGACATCGTGAATATTTTATTTATATTAAACATTATGTTTGATACATTGAGAACACGGAACACGGAAGCCGAATAAAGGACTATGTTAATAATAATGATTTCTAACTGTAACTGTTCATTGATAATAAACAAGATAAGAGAACAAAATTATTCTGAAAATTAAAAACTTTATTATTAGAAGGAGAAATGTACAAGAAGTACTCGATTTGTATCATTTATTAAAATACTACAAGTGTTAATCTGTTATGAATTAATTTTCCATTTAATATTGTGTCTTCTTACATTATGTTTAAGTATTAAAAGAAAATACAGCTAAGCTGTCTTAATAAAATTCAATGGTATGATTCTTTCTTCTTAATGTATGAGAAATATAGAAGGAGGATATGATTTAAATAATAAGTGGTAAGCATTTTGTTATCATTTTAGTTCGCTTCTCTGCGAAGTTCTTCAGCTGTATTTTGGAGGACGAAGATCACGGCACAAATGCAAGGGTTGGCTTTGTCGCCCAATTTATTGTACAAGATAAATGTTTTGATGTTACATCCGTCATTGCAGAATCGACTTCCTCCATTAAATTGAAGGTAAAATTTTGTTTATAAAACAACAGTATGAACACAGATTTACATACATCAATATGTTGATATAAATAAATGGTGTTAATCGAAGCAACAAAAGTGTTGTGACTTACATTTTTAATAGTAATGTATGGGATGTTTATAACAAGTATATGGATGTAGTGTTGATTACTCTTTAACTTCTTGCTTTAAAAATTTAGTTAATTTTGTAAAATTTTTAATAATTCCTCTAAGTAAAATACCAATATTCATTAAATGATTTATTTCAGCCACACGTTCCTTATGACACAGACAACTTGGATGAACGGTTCATATTGAAACTCGAAGTTCCCAACGAGGATAACTTCTTTGAATCTCTGGCATACAAAAGTAAAAATTCATTCTTAATTAAAAATATAAACATTGAACAAAACAAAATTAAAATAAGATAAAGTCTTAAGGGTTTTCATTCCAGATGTGTTTATGAAATACAATAATGACTCCAAGAAACTGTTGATGCGTCAATGTGAGGGTCCTGGACCAAACTTCTTGTTTGAAATGTTTGAGACACGAGGACCGAACTTTGACTCTACACTAAACATTTCCAGCAGGTCAGGCATAGACGCCGATATCTTTGTGTTTGAACCGATTTGAGTAAAAAATGAAAATGGAAACTATAAATTATGTGGAATATTCTTGGCCTTTTGTATTTTTAAGATTTTTTTTCTCTTCGAATTCAAGGTACAGTATTATTAAAAAAACATTGTGCAAAGCTTAGTCGTTTTTGTTTAATCATAGCATAACAAAATGATCCAAAGTTTACCAGCTACTTATTTACCATTTAATATTATTTTAGTCCTTTGAACATCATTCCATATACTGTATATTGGATCATAAATGATAAATAGAAATATTGATTACCGAAAGGATCACTGCACTTAACGCCGGTTTTTGGGTCTTTCTCAATCTCTGTTGTCACATTTATTTTTGTTTTTATTTTTGCCTTAAGTCATTTGTTATAGAGTTTGGTCTATTTTCAAATGAAATGCGATGTCAAATTGGTTATACTGCGTTGCAATAAAATAATTTGTTGTTTTCTTACTCCACCTCTCTGCAAATATTGGGAAATTAGGCTTATCTGCCCTTGATTGAAGATAAGATTTATAAATATGCATAATTATGAGTTGGAGCTAATATTGTAATGAGTGGTCTAAAATTAGAATAGTTACTGTATATATATTTAGTGCATTTCTCTCTCTCTCTCTCTCATATGTTTGTCACTATTATTTTTTTAAGTTTTCAAATAAAGTATATAACTAATAACAAATAACATCGACCGGTAGAAGTAGCCATTGATAATCAACAGCAATGGCTGATGTCAACAATTCGCGTGTTCGAATATAAGTACCAACTAGCTCAGTCGGTAATGCAGAGAATCAATAATATTGAGGTCTGGAATTGAGACCCTCTAACAACAGTAATACGTGCTTTGTTTTTCCCTTTTTATAAAAAGAAAGAAAAACATCACAATTACTTAAGTTTTTTAAAAGTTTCTTTTATAACTACTTTTCCCCATAAATTAGCGTGCTGAGGATGTTACATGTATGATTTCATTTTTATTTACTGGATCTTATTTTGGATGTTCATGTTAAGCAATGGTTCAAAACATTATAAATAAATCTCTTTTTTTCTTGTAAACTACGAACATGTAGAGACATATAATACACTCACAAATATATAAATATAGTAAAATGAAACGCTTTTGAGATAAATATAAGAATAATCTTATAGATATCTAAGAGAAAAAAAAGAATAGCCCGTGGTTCGATGGGAATGGATTGAAACAGATATGGACAATCACTATCGCCTAGCAGTATGCGTGTTTCCTTACACGTCACGTGATGGAATTTTAGTATTCACAGAGTTACCTGGGTATAGAAATCATGTGGTTAAAAATGATATTCAACAGGTAAAACGTGGTCAAAATGACCTGTTTACCATAGAGAAAGTGAACACACGAAGAAACAGTTTTTTTTTCTTTTTAACCATGAGCGCATGTTTGTCTATTGATCTCCTTCAAATTTAAGGTAATATATATAAATATACAACTACCATAAAAAGGAGAACAATAGACAAACATGCGCTCACTATGTATTAAGCCTAAAAAAGGTGGTCGTACTCATTATCCTATGGACATTGCAAAATATGCGATGACCCCTCCCTATAAAAACGACTTCGAACTTCGTTAATACGAACTTTTAATTAACGTAATTACACAAAGTTGCAGTTAAGACATTGGCCATTTCTACCATTAAAAGAAAAATGCCCATTTTTGAAATTATTTATGTCGCAATTTCTAAGTTTCCTTAAGTGCAGTCATCCTTTATGGACAGAACATACTAGTCTTTAGTCTAGTATGTACTTTAGTCTAGTATGTACTTGTAAAAAAAAGTTGGAAGACGACACGATACTAATTGGATTCTTAAACTGAGTCAGTCAACGCGTCTTCCATTGGAAACATTTAATCTATTTAACAGCATTTGTCAAATTCACCAGTTTTTCATTCAGGAGTCATATATTAAGAAAATATTATGGTTATTTCACCCACTACAAACTATAAAAAAGACAAGGAAGTTAAAACGCATGAATTGGAAATCACTATGATTCATCCTTATTGAATGTGTTACAAAACTATACGTCGTGTTTTTTCTGTAGTCAGATATTTAAAGAATAAAAATGGGGTCAATCATCTTTGCATTCTCGAAGATATGAATTATACAATAATTTAAACACTCTAGCAAATTTTTCTGAAATTTATAAATCAAAGGTCTTTAAGGATACACCACGTCTACTAAAGCAACAAATATCTTATTTTAAATTTAGGGAACCCCTATCTTACTAAGGTCATCACATTTGCAAGATCAATACGAATTCAGCCAAAATTAATACCATAGATGTGCCAAAAAGTGAAGACATAAACACGTTAATTTGTCATTATAAAATAATAGTATCAAAAGGATTTTAAAATCTGAATAAAACTATTTAGAGACAATTTAAAATCCAAATATCCATTTGCCTTCAATGAAACATATGGAGTTAAAGAACAGTATTCAAGCCCAGAAGTCCATAAAACAATTCAAAATATGAGCAGAGCAATCACAGACAACCAAAACATCAGAATTGGGATCAGGTGCCATAGAAGAGTGAGCAAACCCTGACGACCGGTCAAACCCGCCTCGTGCTCCTCGTCATGATCGGTAAAAAACAGAAAAATCTGTCGTCAATTCAGTGTGTAAATAAAGGCTTAACAATTAGTATGAAAATCGTCAGTCAGCATTTGACCCAATAATAAACTGTATTTGCTGACAAGGTCATTGTATCGACCATAGAACTTACGAAATGATGACTTTAAATGAGACTGCTGATATTCTTTTTTCATCAAATTGTTTGTCAATAATTTACCACGTTTTAGAAATTGTATATACGTTGATCATGCTTTTGAGTATCGAATCATCTGAGAGATATTAACTCCGTACGCAGGTGATGAAGGTATATATATGCTGCATAATGCATAAGTAAGGGAAGTGGATGATTGCAAAGTTAAAGTCAAAACATTTATCATAGATCTTGGTTAAGGAAAAGCATTAACGTGTTTCAAGTAAAATATCCAAATATGAAACAGATGTGTCAGACTCTGTGGTATCTTTTTCCTCAAGCTCACCGGGATATATCGAATGACTTAAGAATGGAAATAAACATTGTTATAAAAACAATTGCCAAGGTTACTGTACATAATAATATACTGTATGTTAGATTGATTGTATAGTGTTTAACGTCCCATTCGAGATTTTTTCACTCATATATAAGATGTTTTATGATTAATTGCGATCGAACATCACATCTTTCGGTAATGTATCAATTTCGTATTGAAGAATATTATACTTATCTTTCAGACAATTTTAACTTTCATTTGGTATATTACTTTGTTATTTAGTTTTCTTGATCTTTGAAGTTAACATATTCAGTATCATACTAAATAACTGTTTAAATGCACACAAATGCACTGGCTATATGATAAGTCATTTTCCGGCATCTGTCAAATTGTCTGAGTGTCTCTTAACGTTTACATTTTGAACTATAGGAGGTATAAATTTGATATTTTGTGTATGTTATATTTGATTAAAAATTTTTATATCTTCATATTTCACGGAAAACCAGGTAGTTATAACAAAGATGTATTTATGCAAAGTTGATTAATTAGATTATCCACTTTAACATAATACATTTATGCGGAAATCCCAACAATCACTTCACCCTAGTACCGGAAATTTATTATTTAAGAAAATATATTTTTTCTCAAGTACTTTACTGATAAGAGGAAGGAAAATATTTCCCGCCTTGAAAAAGGGATTGGTGCTGGAAAAAAATCAATTACAACAGGTATTCTTTCTTTTAGTCAACTATTTTATCTGATTCCCAGCATAAATTTCTTTTTAAACCCACCTACATACATGTATAATAATGATGTCAAACATCTTTACAATAGTTGAATCAATCATGTAGGTTAATCAATTTAATTTCATATCTAATCCAAAGTTCTTTTTATTTTTCAAAACAAAACATGTCTTGTACCCGTATAGGTAACCCAATATCATATCATGCAATATAACTTGATCAACCTCAAGAACGGAACTTTTAGGATAAACAGGAGATAATTGAAAATATTGTTATCTACTTGGACAGAAAAAAATCTCTATAATGTTTTTTTTAAGATTGGTAAATGACATTTAAAATCAGAATAATACTGTTTCGAGGTTTAACCCGTAAAATCATATCTTCTGATCTCAAATGTGAGAACAATAAACTTATGTTAGACAAGTGTAAGTGGTCATAGCATATATCATTGTAAATGCTCGATTCAAAGTCTGCGTTTGATTTACGAATGTTTGATCCCAGTTTTACTGTGCCCAAAGGTTAAAACTTTGGTGTGAGGAAATAGATTTTTAAGGAATGATGTATTCACGTGTAGATCATTCAAGGAGTTATGATTGTTAAACACGGAAGTACATTCTATCTAAGCTCATTACAAAACTTTTGAGTGGGGGATAACAGGAATTTAACTGCATGCGAAGCTTTAAATTCCCTTTAATCCCATAAAGGTGATCACGGTAGAACAGACAAATTTCTATGATAAATCGAACGTGTAAATTAAAGCATGGTGGACATAACATCACTATCGTGGACATGTAAGGTGGAAGGCGACCTATCGCCGGTGTTTGACGACTATTTCTCGTATATGACCACCCCTTCACCAGATGAGGTGCTGACTACAGGGGAAAGATCATTCAGTATCCCAAACGAGGAGAGCAAAGACGATGCGACAGACGAAGTGGATGGTGGTCTCTTCAGCTGTTTCCCTTCATTCACAAGGGGAGATTCGGTAATATTTCATTTTATACTAGTACCTTAAGTGAAATCATGAGATGATGTGAATTTAATGCCCTGTTCACACGGAGAGTTTAATTCGAATTAAACATTGGTTTACTGCGAATTAGCTTCGCTTGGCGTTCACACGGAGAATTTAATGCGAATTAGTTTACTTCGCATTAGTTTACTGCGCATTAAATTACTTCGCATTAGCTCCGTGTGAACGCTAAGCGAAGCTAATTCGAATTAAATTTTGGGGCATGCGTAATGGCAAAATTAAGTCAAATGCGTCATGTCGGTGGTCAGCTTTAAGTACTTGTGCTATTTTTGAGTGAAAAACTAAGAAAAAATGTGTTAATCACTAAAGTATGTCCCCAGACGCTGTGACATTATGTCAAATGCATCTGCTTCTGCATAAGGTGACGTGATTTGCAAATGACGTCATAATAGCCTTCCTCACGCCTGACTGTCGAAGAAGTAAAATTTTAATTCGCATTAGTTTACTTCGCATTAGCTGTCGTGTGAACGCAATTTAATTCGCATTAGTTTGATTCGCATTAGTTTACTTCGCATTAAATTACTGCGAATTAAACTTGTCGTGTGAACAGGGCATAAGGTGATTTAAAAAGAAAAGTCCTTTTGTGTTTCATTTTATTTCTTGTGCCCTGAGACGGAGAGTTTAATTCGCAGTAAATTAATGCGAAGTAAAGTAATGCGAATCAAACTAATGCGAATTAAATCGCGTTCACACGACAGCTAATGCAAAGTAAACTAATGCGAATTTTAAAAATTTTACTTCTGCAGCCCGGCGTCAGCACGGCTATTATGACGTCATTTGCAAATCACATCACATTCTGCAGAGCTGATCCATTTGACATAATATGTCACAGTGTTTGTACACACATTTTCATGATTAACAAAATTTTCTTTAGTTTTTCACTCAAAAATAGCACTAGTACCTATAGCTGACTATGGACAAGTGGTATTTGACTAAATTTTGCCATTATGCATGCGTCAGAAGTTAATTCGAATTAGCTTAGTGTTCACACGGAGCTAATGCGAAGTAATTTATGCCCTGTTCACACGGAGAGTTTGATTCAAATTAAACGTAAAGTTACTGCGAATTAGCTTCTCTTAGAGTTCACATGGAGAATTTATTGCGAATTAGTTTAATTCGAATTAATTTACTGCGCATTAAATTACTTCGCATTAGCTCCGTGTGAACGCTTGAGCAAAGCTAATTCGAATTAAATTTTGACGCATTCGTAAGGGCAGAATTAAGTCACAGGACACGTGTCAGTGGTTATACATAGGTCAAAAATTGAGGGAAAGTATGTTAATCACTAAAATCAATGAATACCTGTAGCCACTACATGATGTATCAAAGATGGATCTGCATACATGACGTGATTTACAAATGACGTCATAATAGACTTACTGACGCCTAAATGTAGAAGAAAATTTCTAATTCGCATTAGTTTACTGAACGCTGTCGTGTGAACGCAATTTAATTCGCATTAATTTGATTCGCATTAGTTTACATCGCATTAATTTACTGTGAATTAAACTCGTCGTGTGAACAGGGCATTAATGCGTAGTAAACTAATTCGAATTAAGGGGGGACCTATGTCGTTCTACGTCAAAGCAGCGTTATGTGACGTCACAATAGCGACGTTTGGTTTTTTTTTCCGCAGACTTTTGCAACTGTGATTATAGGCATAACATTGTTATAAAATCAAAAACGTACACAGTTTACAACAAGAATTTTTTTTATCATTTATATTTATAACAGTTTTATTTGATTTATGGAGTTTGTTAATATTAGAATTCTCTTATGGTTGATAATTCATAGCAATTTCAGTGGTAAAGAAATATCTCCATGATATACTGATATAAAAGCGCCAAAAAATATAAGATAAAATTCAGCAAAGAAAGCGCCTAAAATCAGGGAAATTTGTTTAATTTCATGTTTACCATTTATTGTATTTCCTTGATAAAACTAACAAAAAAATCAGAAATGTACTTGTACCTGTATTTACTTATTGATTTATAGTATATGTAGATTTTATTGTATAAAGTCATTCCTAGGTTTCATTTAGGTGTTGGTTGTTGACGGGGAAATTGGGGGGGATGATTAGAATGAAGAAGAAAAGAGTTTATTTGTTTAAATTATTTCTAATCAAAACAAAATACTCGTTTTTTGCAAAATAGTTTTATATTCAGATGTTTGTCAGTGCTTACTTACCTTTTTTTTTAGTGCAAAAAGGTCAATATTAATGACAAAAGAGTACGAAAATAAAAGAAAACGTCATATTTCTCGTTTATTTTATCATAAAGGTATATTTTTTTCTTTGTTAAAATAAAGAGAGGGGTCATTTCTTTTAAAAAATATGAATTACAACATTTTCACACAAAGACTTTTTAAAATATTACCTGTTATGCATGTCGGAATTGTAAAAAATACGACAAGAAAAACGGGGTGATACTTACATTGTGCTCATTTATAATTTTTCATGCGCAATGAATTGCAATGAAATTGCCTTCATTTTAAAGATTTAAGTCATATAAATGAAATACCTGTTGATTTCGAATGTGATTTGACATTTTTGGTTCTTTTTAGCGCATATTTGGAGTAGAACAATAATGTATGAAAATAATCTATTTTTAGCATTTCACACTGTTTTTGCACGTGATCCTGTGTAAAAATGAGCATATAGAGGTATTGTTTTTAATACCTAAAAATTAAGAGCAAGTGGCCAGGAAGGAAATGTCAAAGTTTTGAAAATTTCACACAAAGACTTTTCGGACATAGGTCCCCCCTTAAACTAATTCGCATTAAATTCTCCGTGTGAACGCGAAGCGAAGCTAATTCACAGTAACTTTACTCTCCGTGAGAACAGGGCATCGAAATCTAGCAACGTATGTATCATTTAATAGAAAATCTTCGCAATTATTTATTTTCAATTTCAGATTTCATGCCCTGTTCACACAACGAGTTTAATTCGCAATAAATTGATGCGAAATAAACTAATGCGAATGAATGCCCTGTTCATACGGAGAGTTTAATTCGAATTAAAGGCTATTTTTGAGTGAAAAAATAAGAAAAATTTTGTTAATCATTGAAATGTGTGCACAAACACTGTGACGTTATGTCAATGGATCTGCTTCTGCAGAAGGTGACGTGATTTGCAAATGCCGTCATAATAGCCGTGCTGACGCCGGGCTGCAGAAGTAAAATTTTAATTCGCATTAGTTTACTTCGCATTAGCTGTCATGTGAACGCAATTAATTCGCATTATTTTGATTTATTTAGTTTACTTTGCATTAATTTACTGCGAATTAAACTCTCCGTGTGAACAAGGCATAAATTGCGTTCACACGACAGCTAATGCGAAGTAAAGTAAAAATTAAGTAAAGTAAAATTTTAAAAATTCTACCTCTACGGCCAAGCGTCAGTAAGGTTATTATGACGTCATTTGCAAATCACGTCACCTTATGCAGAAGAAGATGCATTTAAGGTCAAGATCTAGTAAATGAAAAGTGCCTACAGTTTTATCAAATTTAAGAAATAAATTCCTGTAATGATGCTTTATAACATTAGCTTGGTCAAATAAGGTGTTTCGGGGCAAAATTTTTAGGAAAACAAGATGAAAATCCATACTTTAAACTGTCATTTTCAATGAAAAATTAAGAAAACCAGTCTTCAATATGGGAGTTTTTTTCCATATCATACTAAGAAAATGTATCCAGATTGCCTACAGTCTTTCAGAAAACGGTAATTTGTATCTTCTGAGTCTCTTTTTTAAGATAATGTCAAATATAATATAGGTATCGGGACTACTTTTTACATAGTTTCCAATTGAATTCTATGAAAATACTCTATTTTCTACATAATTCTAAGAGCCGTAAAGTTCGGGAAAAAGAAAGTTGAAAGTGATTATGACGTCATAATGGATCTAGCACCAAAAAGTTAGTCTAGGGACATTTACTAGATCTTGACCTTAACTTAAGGTATGTCACTCGTGAAATTTCCTAAATCAAGGATTTTGTGAGAAGTATATTTTGGATAAGTATTCATATAATAAGACTCTAAATCGCAGAGAAAATAGGGGGTCACTGTGTATCTTACTGATCTATGGTACAATTACGTTGACCTTTTTGCACTTAAATTTCAACTCTTTGGTTAATTACTTTAACCTTTATCATATTTTACTAGATGTTACGTTGGCAAAAAATGTAATCTTATTTTACGTAAAATAGTTTGAATAATATTTATCGTTGAACAAATTTTGCTAATTAATGCGCGTAAATTATTACGTGACTAAAAAACAACATATTTGGGGGTATTGAAAATCTAAATAGACAAAAAAATATTTTCTTTTACGCCACCTCTGTTGATTTTTCCGTGAAATCCTGGCTTACGATTGGTTGAAGTCTGTCACGTGAAAGCGGTGGATTACTTATACCCGGTCAGTTGTAAATCCATACCCGGTCAGTAAATCTATACCCGGTCGATGTATTACGTCACAAACACAAATGGACGTCATAATAGGCACAGTATAAGCGCGATGTAGCATTTATAAGAAGAGAAAAGAATTTATAAACTACAATTAAAACGTAAATGTTTCATCGGTGGGGTAAATTCGTTACATAGTCATTTAGTGACAGGGTATGGGATGATACCTGGTTAGTAAATTTCATACCTGACTCGGCTCCGCCTCGCCAGGTATGAAATTTACTAACCAGGTATCATCCCATACCCTGTCACGAAAAGACTATGTAACTAATAGTATCAAACTTTTTACGACTTAAGTGCTGATCAGTCAAAAGTATCGAGTGGTTTAAAATACCGAAAGAAAAAGTTGGGGTCAGTGATGTTAATTTTGAAATATTGGTCAAAACATATGATTTTCAGGCAAAAAACAGTGTAAATTATCTTGACTTCTTCAACATATCTTCATTTCTAAGCAAAGTTTGTTGAGGGAAGGTGTAAAATTTGTTCTAAAAATATAAATCAAGACCTTTATTAAATATTCGTAGCATATCATAGCGGAAAATATTCCCCGAGTAAAAGTATGTGAGGCTAAAGTTCCAAGACGTTAAATTTAATAAATGTGCAGATTTTCTGCAAAATATCCTTCCACCACAAGAAATAGTTCCTCATAAATCTTGCTTCTTTGTGGATTTTTGAGCAGTTTTTTTTATTTAATATTGAAAAATATACTGTGTTGAATTATGATATGCTATAAATATTGAATTATAATAAAAAGGTTTGAAGTAAGAGGTTCTGCGCGAACTTTTCTAAAAAGCTGACGACTGACCTACCTTAATGTTGCTGTACAACTACACGTGCGTACACCCATTTTAGTGATTAATACAATTTTCCTCAGTTTTGACTCAAAAATAGCACAAGTACTTAAAGCTGACCACCGACATGTGGCATTTGACCTAATTTTGCCATTACGCATGCCTCAAAATTTAATTCGAATTAGCTTCGCTTAGCGTTCACACGGAGCTAATGCGAAGTAATTTAATGCGCCGTAAATTACTTCGAACTAAACTAATTCGCATTAAATTCTCCGTTTGAACGCTAAGCGAAGCTAATTCGCAGTAACTTTACGTTTAATTCGAATTAAACTTTCCGTGTGAACAGGGCATTAATCTCCATTGTTATAATTTGTTCGGAAATTGTAGAGAAATCTAAACTGGTATTGTTTTTTCTCTTTCGGTTAAAAATGTCTAGCTAGTTGATATCTTCAGAAATTATTCAAAATTTCAAAAGAATTTCTTCCTTAACCTTTTTAATTTTTCTATTTATTTGTTCAGATGAAAACGAATACTGAAAACACGTTTTATTTAGATTTAAATTTCCTTTGATTGTGAAGCAAAATTATTTTTAAAAATGACTATAAATAATTTTATTAAAAACAGAGCTCCAGTAGCTCGAGCAGCAGTGACGCAGAAGAGGCAGAGGCGGAGACATTACGTGTAAAGAGGTCCCACTCCGGTCGGCTCCGGAGTTTCTGGAGCAGGAACTATTTGTTCCGTTTGGAATCCGCCTGTAATCCGATGGACCGGAAGGATGTGTATCACGTGGTGAAAGAGGTGAAGGACGTCGCCGAAAAAGAATTAAGGTAGTTATAATTAAGAATTCCATGAAAAGCTTCCTTTTGTTTTATGTACTCTTATTGGATATAAATACTGATTGAGCATATATATTTTACACGATAAACATACACACAATAGTCATGTATTTATTTGCAAAAGAGATATGAACTTTAGGAATCCTAATAAAAATTGGCATCCCAGAAACCAATTATATATATGTATAGCTATAACTTAAATATTTACAGAATCAATGACAGATTGGTAGCAATTAACAACGAAAACACAAAAAACAAATCATTGACAGACGTTGAAAACATGTGGGAACAGCTCCAAAGATGTCCAAAAATTCAACTGGTATGTATTTTCCAAAAGAACATTGGTTACCATGGCTACAATGGTTACCAAAACGGGAATTTTATATGCATATACTGTATATCATTTCAATTCCAAAGAAAAAAGAATTGAATATATCTTTTGACTGTTTTGACTGATTTCTTTAATATTTTGCAGAAAGTTTGGAGATGGTTATTCAGTGAACATGGTCTACAGATATGTGAGGTTATCATAGTATTTTATTCCATTCATCCTGAGGGACGGTACAAAGAGCTATCTGCTAAATCACTTGATGGTAAAGTTCCACGAAGGGTCACAAGTCTTCGCTGGACAGCCTCCAAATTCCGACCTTTTCACTTACGGATCGCTTGTAAAACTGGGATATACGTGTCAGCCCATGTGGAAGATCTGGCGCTGTATGGCGAATCCATCCACAAGCCACAACAAAGCAGATGTAACTCAGAGATTTCTAAGAATTTTTTTTTATAATTATATGTTTTCATGAATTAGAAAAAAATTAAACTAACATATTTTCAACATATTTTTTTTGCATATATGGTGAAATTGATATTTTAGAATAAAATCTTTTCTTCCAGTTCGCTTCATGATCAGGTTCTTTGAGTGTGTGGTAACAAACAAAGATGGGACGTCCGACCAGAGATATGGATATGTAGCAAAATACAAGGAGAATGGAAAATACTTTGACATTTCGTCAATTATCACAGAATCTGCGTCCACAGTTGTTCTTAGGGTAAGACTAGTCAAAGAAAACGGTTAAATCACACATGCCTAGGTATAATAGTATGCATTCACTGCTAGTTAAATATCTAAAGATCTAGCTGTCCATTTGTATTCAACTGCCCATCGATTGGATATTTGAATGATTAAGCAATGGCTGAAGGATTTTGAGATAACGAACAGTATTCAATATTAAAGTCCATATTAAAACAATACAAAATATGAACAGAGCAAACACAGATCTCTAAAACATCAGAGGTGGGATCAGGTGCCATGGAGGAGTTAGCATCCCCTGCCGACCGGTCACACCCGCCGTGTGCTCCTTGTCATGGGCGGGAAATGACGGAAAAATCTGTCGTCAATTCAGCGTGTAAATAATGGCCTTACAATTAGTATGAAAAAAGTCAGTCAGCATTTGACTCAATGATAAATTGTATTTGTTGACAAGGTCATTGCATTGACTAAAGAACTTATGAAATAATGACTTTAAACGAGACTGCTGATATTTTTTTTCATCAACTTGTTTGTCAATAATTTACCTCGTTTTTAGAAATTGTTCATTCGTAGAGCATGCTCTTGTGTATCGAATCAACTGAGATATATAAACGCCGTATGTATGTGATGAAGGTATTTTGCTGCATAAGTAAGGGAAGGTGACGATAGAAAAGTTAAAATCATCGCGTTTATCATAGAGCTTGGCTGTTAGATTACCATTGACGTCTTTTTAAAGTAAAATATCCAAGTATGAAACAGATGTGCCAGACTCTGTGGTATCTTTTATCTCAAGCTCACCACAAAATATGGTATCGACATAGGAATGGAAATTACCATTGTTAATTGACAATACGTCGTCGAAATATCTAAATGTTGAGTTGAAGGACACAACAAGTGTTTTCTTCTTTTCACGCATAAGATTTTGTACAATTCTGCTTCATATGAATACAAGAATATGTCTGCTAATAACGGAGCGCAATTTACCCATGGAAATTCCAATAGATTGTTGGAAGACCTGGTCTTCAAAAACCACATAGATATTGTTAATCAGAAAAAAGCATCTTTTTGATGTGAACTCCAGAGTACTTGTGTGTGCAATCAGAATGTGTTTAAGGTCAGACGTCACGTTCCTCAAATACATCTTTTGTGTTTCTTGGTATTATATAAAAATTATGAATATTTGTCATTATCTTGTGATGTCTACATTGTTTTCAATATGTTTTTAAATATAAGTACATCAAAAATGGTGATATATGCTATTCAGATGATTACCTATATGGGATTTATAAGAAATATCACCCTGTGGTATCTTGTCCAAATGCCTGGTTAGGTACCCTAATTTTTTTTTTAGGAAACTTTTTTAAGTGCCTAGACTTCAATGACAAATTCTTGGGGAAAATTATATATTTTTGAGGAAGGTGTCGTCTGACCTTAAACAAAATAATATTGCATCTGACCAATGACCAAGTAAGTATATTTACGAGTTCAGTTTTTGTTTAAAAAGCAGTTGTCAATGATATCAAAAAGCCTGGACTTTAATTTACCGAGGGGAATTTAACGAGTTTAAATTACCGTGGGGAGTTTATTGAGAGAGCCTGTTTTATTAAGAAAAACTAAGAATTTTTGACACTATCAGAATCTTGCCCTTAAATGAAACACTCTATGGATGTCCAATTCTGTTTCAATATTATTTTTTTTATAAATTTTGAGTTTTTGAATATTTAGAATGACACAAATCACTTTAAAAACATAATCACGTCCCTCCGTGCCACTCAAAAGATATTCAAGGCGTCTATTGTCAAAAATCCAACAATCCAATACGTATCCAACCGTATCTAATTTATTATTTATATAAACACATTTTTATAAACAATTCAACAGTTATACACCATCTCCTTTTTTTCCCTAAAACCAATCTACCTAAATATCCTAATTTTTTGCTAATTATCACTTTTTAAAAGTGCCATTAGACTATTTTTTGATAACTTATTATATGCAACGTAAGCCCGTTCATAATTTTCCATTGATATACAACGACGCCATTGCTAAGAAACTTAGTGTATTTTTCTTTTCTCAGCCACACGTTTCCTTCAGTTCTCTGACACCAGACGAGCGGTTCTTTATAATGTACGAAGTAGAGGACGATGATGACGTATTTGAATCACTTCTTTACGAAAGTAAGTTGTACATTTTTACAGTAAAGCAAACAGATTGTTGGATATTTAATTTTGCTTTTTTAATTCTAAAAAAAAATTGTCACAGCAGATTTATTTTAAATCAAACATGAAATACACCCAAACCATTTTGTACTTAGACAATTCAAGCTTGAAAAACTATATTGAAGGGATTCTTTTACCGTATTTATTTCATTTTTTTATAAAGAAATCTTTTAGCAAATTTATCAAATCAGTAAAATAAAATTAATGCCAAACAATTAAAACAATGGCATATTGTAGATATGTTTATGAAGTTTAACAACGAGACGAAGAAAATAACAATGCAGGAACGACAAGCACCGGGACCATTCTTCCTGTTTCAAACCTTTGTGGCACGTGGAAATAAACAACCACAAGTTGACATAAATTGTTTTTCAGACGGAGGGCGTTTATTTTCATTTGAACCATTAACTGAACCAATCGTTGAGGAGAAGAGTGATCCTTGAAGTGTAAAAGTACAATGTGTCTATAAAACTATTTCATATATGTTAAAATAACTTATAATTATGACGTTGTTTATATAGATTTACAATCAAGATTTTTATCGATTTAATAATGTCAATTAAGTGAGATAGTTAAAACAAATGTTAACGAACAAATTTTACCGATATTCATAATTAGCGAACTTGTTATCCTCAATAACAATGCCAATTAAAATTTAATCCTCGCTAAAATTTCTGCTTATACGAGGGTATATTTATGTTAACAATCGGAATCTTTATTGCATGATACATTGTGCCTTCTAACACAGGATTTCAAATACATTGTAAATAAAACATTAAATTGTATTGAGGTGAAGGTTTAAACAACAATTAAAAGGTTAAAAATGGTTAAATCATGAAAAGAAAAGATGCACTCTTTCGTTTATCTGGTGACTTCTAGCTGTAAAATCAATCATTCGTTTTGAATCCGTCCTCTATCATTATTTTATATTCGTTACTTTTAACCATTTGAAATACCTAAACCCAGAACGTTCAAAGCAATTTGAAATCAGATCCAGCTGACAAAATTGTGAAAGGGGTTTGAATTCATTATTTTGTTGAATCATTGTTTCTCAAAATGTAGGTATTGTATTTATTGATTGCTACAATTTTGAAAATAATCATAAAATTTGAGTACATAGATTAGATTGTCTCTTTTGTTTTCAAATATTGTCTATGATGTCTGATTTAATAAAAAAGATTTTTGAATATGTTTTCTTATGCAAAAACGTCACAGAATGATTATTTGTGCAAGAACCTATTCTGCAGTAGTAAACATTGAGCATGGATCGTGGCATGTACTTCTAGAATGACGTGTAATGGATGTGCAAACTAAAAATACCGGAGATGTCGATGAGAGTTATGACTGATGTATGAACAAACGCATAAATTTTAGAGATCAGAAATTGGACTCGACTGCAATACTTTAGATGGATTTAAGGAAAAGTTACACAATGCTCATTGAGAAGAACTTATTCCTTTGCTTTGGCCTTCAACTCGATGACGTATTGTTAAATAACAATTGTTATTTCCATTCTTATGACAATACGATGTATACCTTGGAGATTGAAATTAATTAAGGATACCACAGACTCTGATACATCTCTTTCACATATATTTGGATATATTTTGCCTCAAAAAGACATTAATGGTAATCTAACAACCAGGGTTTATTATAAACGTGATGATTTTAACTTATAAATCGTTAACTCCCCTTACTCATGCTTTGCAGCAATATACCTTTTATCAGCTTCATACGGGTTTATTCTCTCAGTTGATTCAACTTGAAAGAGCATGGTCTACCTATGAACAATTTCTAAAACGAGGTAAGTTATTACAAATCAGTTGATAAAACAGTCATCATTTCGTAATGATCATGTCAGACTGTCATTTGCAATACTAATTGTTGGGCCATTTGTGACAATTTTACACACTGAATTGTCGATGACAAGGATAAGCCTGATCCAACATCTGATGTCTTGGGGGTCCATTATTGCTCTGCTCCAAATATGTATTGCTCCAAATAAGTACTGTTTCAATAGCTTATCAGCTTGAATACTGTTCGTTATCTCCTTATATTTCATTTAATGTCAGAGTGATCTGCTTCATAATATATTTTATTTTAATGCAATAAGTATTTTGATAACCCGATTACCCATCAACTAGCTAATTTCTTTCCATAATCCTTTCAACGCTAGCACACCTTATCTTATCCTCCTTCAATGAGTAAAAAGTCTGTAAAACAGTTTGTCGTGTGTTGCCACCTTTGTGACGTTTAATAATTTGTTTGAAATTCTAAAAAGTATTATTAACAATGACATATAATTTTTAGCAGACACAAAATATCAAGATGAGAAATAAACCAATTTTGTAAAGAGAGATAATCCAAATTTACAGTAATCACCACTTAGAGTTAACAGAAAAATGCCTATAATACTGTTAAAATCAAAAAATGTTAGATAATTTCAAAGAATATCTATCTGAAAAATTGACGGACATTAAAAGTAACAAAATGGTGACACACTGTTATCATTTTCATGAATGTCTATTTTCTTACTGAAATTAATGCTCCCCTTATACTCCTATACAAACGTACATTTCCCTGTCTGTTCAGATGAACCCCGTCGTGAACAAATTTACGACTACAATCTCCTTCACGGGGAGAAACGAAATAATTCCCATGTTCCCAAAACACACAGTAACCCAGTGACGGCAATGCATCTCTCAATATTGCATTTACTCTGTCTGCGATATCATTGTACCCAAAACGAACACAAAATCGTGGCAATAATTAACAAACAATTATTTTCGCAACTTTATAGCGTCGATGCATTACTGATACCAAAGTTTCAATTACTGCAGCTAACAAGGTAGCGTCGGTATTAAGACTAATTAATATCGTTCTCCCCAATCATTAAAACAACTACATCTGGACCTAAAGCAAATACACTCTCCATATCCTTATATATTACATTACGAATCTTCCTTCCACCCACACCCTTGAACAAAACGGAATGCGTTTCTCCAAGACCAAGGCTTGCAGAATATCTAATGTCGCCATGTTTCAAGAATTCGTGAAAACGACGCACAATTGAGTGTCCAAGAATGACAACTGAAGTTTTGCCCATTGAAGACATAATAAAATAATTTTACTCACCAAAATCTTGATAAAATAAATAACAAACTTTGAAAAACGTCCGTTCTCCAAGGGTGTAGATGGGAGAAAAGGCAGAGTGACGCACCGCGTGGTCGGAATTTCATTTGTTAGATTTTGATTGGTCAATCTCTGCCCCTCCTGACATGAAACAAAATGACCATTATAAAACACAGCTATACAACAGCTATACAATGTTTCAGACTTTCACATTCAAGGAGGACTCTTATTGATTACAATAAAAAATTTTAAGTAAACTTAAATTTATAAACATGTAGAGATAAACACTGTTCCTTAGCTTTGGTAAAAAAAAAAACTAACATTGTTTCTTAGCTTAATAGTCGAAAAATAGCCGTTCAGAGCTAATGTTTTTTTTTGTTGTTAATTTACCTTACTTTAAAAAATATTATCTTCTTGTTTTACCTTCACTTTTATCCTTTTTCAGCGAGAGTTATCTTTCTTTTTTCATATCTTTGACTTGTTTAAGTTCGCGCATTTAATCACAGTGAGCTCTTGCAATATGTAATAATTAGAAATTCATTTTAATATAAATTATGTAGAAACAAAATGAAACGAACATTTCATATTGTAATTATGTAACTATTCGAGGGACGTTCAATAAATGTCATCAGCTCGATGACATACAACATAGAAATCATATGCCATTAAGCTTGACTTTTTCAAATTATTGAATCTTTAATGAGTTGATTACAGTTTATGTGACCTCTTTTCATCTCATAGTTCCATTGTGAGAAGCTTGAAAACAAGATTATATAGTATACTGTATATTGGCAAATCCGTATAGTATAGTCCATTTGCCGTTACATTCTCTGTCTTAGGCATCGGAAGCAAATTGAAAAGAGGGGAGTAAAACAACAAAGAAAAGTAAATACCAAATCTTAATGCCTATGATATTATGTTTGATACATTAAAAAAAGGCGGGGGATAAGCCCCCCCCCCCGGTTCCGGCGCCTATGTATTTCACTCTATCCTCTTGTCATGTGTAAACACCCTGGGGAATTTTCCCCGTTGAGCTATGAGTCACCAAATATCTAACATGGAATGTGATTGGTTGATTTTTCACTTAAGTAAAAATATTTAATTGTGAGTAGAAATGGCCAGTGTCATATTTTTACTGCAGTAAAAATATTTTTACTTGGGTAAAATTAATTAATTGTGAGTTAAATGGCCACATTGTATTTTTACTCCAGTACAGAGGTAAATTATTTTTACTGGAGTAAAATTAATTTTACTGGAGTAAAAATATTTTTACTGGAGTAAAAATATCTAATTGTGAGTAGCAATGGCCAGTGTTTTATTTTTACTGCAGTAAAAATAATTTTAGTGGAGTAAAAATCAATAATTGTGAGTAGGACGGCCAACCATACAAAAGAGGTTTAATACTCAAAGGTCACCGAATATTTTTGAAAAATGAGTGAAAACGACAGCGTGTAGGAATATCTAAACAATTATTTTAAAAATTAAAAAATTGCACTTATCAATGTTTGTCTGAAATTTAAACAGATAATGAAACTTGAATCTATTTACTTTGAACCCTCAAAACAAATTTATAATGAAATTCACTTGACAAAACAACAAAGACGTGAAAAAGACCTGAAAAGAGTAAAGAATTGAGCACAAAAACAGTTTTATATGCTATTTTCTTAAATATTAGCGGTCTTGTTGTTCAAATTCTTATTGGGGGAGTAATTTCAATTTCTGGAGGAGTCTAGAAAGCAAAATTTTTGCAAAAAAGTGAAAGGTTTATGAGAAGGAGCCAGAATGAGGAATTTACTGCATTAAATTTCTTCATGACAGCGACCAAACCCACAGGCCATGAAGAGTAAAGGGGTTCTTGTGATAAAAAAAGTTAATGTTTTGTCACACAATATTGGCCAGCACTTTCAACCGTTGACTTGTTTCAGTTTCCAATCTTGAAAAAAAAACACCTTTCAGAAAGCAAAAACAAGTACAGGAAATCATAGGATCTGACATATTCCAGTATACGAAGGGTCATACTCAAAAATATGTTCTAAAAACAATTAGAAATTGAATAAAAATGTAACGGACATGTGTTTTAATAAAAGAGTATATTTTAGTTTAATCATTAAGAATAAATCTTGGAAAAGCGTTTTTTTGTTTATTTCCGAGCACCGATGACATTATTTATTGAACATCCCTCCTATAATTTGCAGAAAGACATCACAAAAACTATACAGTGGTTAAATACTATAAATCGTGACGTTTCTTTCTTATATGTTGATATCGATTTAGAAGACAAATGTCATTTTATTTGGAGATGTACATGTTACTCTGATACAAAATGAAATGCCTAATCTCTGACACTGTTTGATTTTTGACTTTTTATACATATATATCATTGTATCATTGTAAGCATTTACCCCATGGCAAATTCGTTTCTGTTTATGTGGTAGAAAGCTGTGGTAGTTTGTTAAGTTCTGTTTCTATAAATAGTGATTAATATAAATAGTGTAATCCAAATATAAAGTCATTCAGTCCAGAAAAGATAAATGAATTCAATAAAGGTACATGTATAAAGAAAAAGGTAGCGACATTAAGGTCAGCAGAATATATATTCTATGCAACGCGTCTAACTATAAAAATTCAGCACAGAAATTTTTATGGAAATATTTGTTGATGTTTTAAAAAGACATTGTTTTGAAATAGAGTGATTAATGTAATAAATAGGAAAATGAACATATACAAAAAAGATACATTAATTCATAAAAATGAATGTCGGTCAAAAATACAATACTAGAATCCAAGTTAAAACATTAAAAAAATGTATAAGTTGTAACCTTACAGAAATTTATTGAAATTCACATTGAATTGATT